ATCTGGTCCTCTCACTTCTGGGCAAACAGATGGGGAAGAAATGGAGGTAGTGACAGATTCTATTTCCTGGGCTCCAAGATCACTGCAGATGGGGACTGCAGCCACGAAATTAAAAGACGCTTGTTCTTGGGGAGGAAAGCTATGGCAAATCTAGATAGCATACTAAAAAGCAGAGACATCACCCAAGGCTATGGTTTTCCCAGTTGCAATGTATGGCTGTGAAAGTTGGACCATAAGGAAGGCTGAGCGCCGAAGAATTGAGGACTTTGAATCGTGGTGCTGGAGGAGACTCCTGTGAGTCCCTTGGACAGCAAGGCGATCAAACCGGTCAGTCCTAGAGGAGATCAACCCTGATTGCTCTTTAGAAGGCCAGATCCTGAAGATGAAACTCCAATACTTCGGCCACCTAATGAGAAGGAAGGAGTCCCTGGAGAAGAGCCTAATGCTGGGAACAATAGATGGCAAAAGAAGAAGGGGGCGGCAGAGAATGAGGAGGCTAGATGGAGTCACTGAAGCAGTTGGTGTGAGCTTAAGTGGACTCCGGGGGATGGTGGAGGACAGGAAGGTCTGGAGGAATGCTGTCGATGGAGTTGTGATGGGTCAGACATGACTTTGCAACTAACAACAACAACAAAACAGCATTAATAGAATTATTTTTTGCAGCCACATCATATTGTTGACTCATATTCAACTTGTGAGCAACAACAATGCCAAGATTCTTCTCACTTGCAACATTGTTGAGCCAAGTATTCCCCATCTCGGAGTGATGCATTTGGTTTCTTCTTCCTAGGTGTACAATTTGACATGCATTCCTATTGCATTTCATTCTATTGTTTTCAACTCAGCGGTCCAACCAATCAAGATCACCTGGGATTTTTTTCTGACTTCCGGGATATTAGCTATCTCACCCACTCTTGTGTCATCTGCAAAACTGAAAATCATTCCTTGAACTTCCTCATTCAATTTATTAATAAAAATAAAAATGAATGAAAAGTACTGAGTCCAGAACTGAACCCTGCGGTACTCACATGTTACCTTTCCCCATCTGAGAAGGTGCTATTGATGAGTACTTTTTGAGTCCAATTCTGTAGCTAATTATGTCTTCACTTGATCATTGTTCCATCAAGCCCACTTTTAGGTTGTTTTCTAATCAGGATATCATGGGACACTTTGTCAAAAGCTTGGCTGAAGTCAAGATATGTCCACAGCATCCATACAGTCCACAAAGTAGGTTACTCAAACAAAAAATAAGATCAGACCAGTTGGGCAGGATTTGTTCTTGAGAAATTCTGTTGGCTTCTCGTAATCATTCCATTGTTTTCAAGGTGTTTGCAGACTAAAAAGCAATCTGCTCCTGGACCAGAGAGGAGTCAACCGCTTCATAAAACCCAGGAAGTTCAATGGAATCATCAGAATTCCCAACAATTGAAGAATAGAAAAATAAGCTGGCAGAATAGATAGTGATGGCAAAATTAACTAATTATGTGCATAGAAGACCAGTTGAAGAATTTAATAAATGGAAATTCTATTATACTCTGTATAATTAATGGAATGTAAAAAGGATTTCTTTAAAAAGTAGTTGAAGATCTATAATTCACTTAAAGCAACTGGAAAATTTGTTGGCGTATGGAATAATAATTTCTTCTTTTCTGAACTCCCATAGGGTATTGAATGACAGAAAGATAGATAAATTTGTATGTTTGAATGTATTGGTTGTACTTGTTTAAAATCCCTTAGCAACTTTATTCTATTTTACTTTTTTACATATACTTTTCTTCTTTTGGTATTCTGTTTATGTTAAGAAAATTTTAAAAAGACCCAGGAAGTTACACATGGTCACACTTCAGAATTTCCTACTGTTGCTGCAAAATGGAGAATGGTTCACCTTGGTGGACCTGAAAGACACCTACTTCCATATCACCACTGAGGACTCCTACAGGATCTTCCTTTGCTTCCAGATTGGAGACCAGGGCTTCCAATTCACCATTCTCTCCTTTGGCCTTGCAACAGCACCACATGTTTTTACAAAGTGCATGGTAGTAGTCTGCAACCAGCTCTGCCTACAAGGAGTCCTGGACACTACATGGGGCACAGTGTCTGGGTGGTGGTAGCTGGTTCAGACCCATCCTCCAGGCAGTGTTCCTGACCTGATGGACTGAATCCATCTGGTCATTCATAGCCTTGTTGAACAGATCCTCCCCATCAAAGGGCATATCCTTTATTTGGTCTCGCACTTCAGTGGACAGTCCCAATGACCAAAACCAGGCATATTTCTGCAGGTCTATTGCCCCAGCCATGTTCCTGGTGCCACACTCTGCCTGGAGCCTGGCCATGTGGATCTCAGGCGCCATCAGTTCTGATGTTTTTTACCAGGTCTTATGATTCTCAGGAGGGTTTCACACAGGGAGGTAATTCTGTCCCACAGCATCAGGTGGTACCTGACCATATTGGCTTGATAGTTAGCCACCTTCAAGGCCAGTGTAGCAGAGGAAGAGAACCAACTGTGTCTAGGTGGCAGCGTTCTTTATCGCCCAATGTGAAGTGTTCCCTTCTGGAAGACCCTTGGATTGATTCCACAAAGATAGAATTGGGATGCAGGTGTTGTAACAGGAATGGCACATCCTGCTCCTGCACCCAGTACATATTCTCTAGTCTCTTATGAGTCAGGACTACAGCAGTGGGGGATTTCCATTAGTATTGCCACCAGTCCTGTGCTCTCTGAACAGACGGCCTTGAACACCAGGTCCTTGGCTCTCCCAGGTTTTTGCTGTGGGTTCAGCCATAGGCTGTGCACCATCTGCAGGACTGAGTCAGAGAACATTCTGAGATCGCCTGATGGTGAGGATTCATCCAGGCAAAGCACTGTTGCACCTGGCAAAGGCTCAGAGGATTGGGCTGGTGAGATGGACTCTGCGTTGGATGGGTAGCTACTGGAGTCCAAAGTCTGAAACTGAAATCTGGAGGTCAACAAGCCCTGGATTTTTGCTGGCAAGCACTAGGTTTTGGCTTCTCTTGTGGGCCTGGATGTGGACAGTCTTGGTTTGGGCTGAGGGGCCTTGGTACCAATTCAGGCTCTGTCAGAGCAAGCTGGGCTCCCATTTGGCTGCTCTAGGTGTCTGGAGTTGAAGAAAGCTCAGTGATCATGGTAGAAGAACCTGTTGTAGCCCCTCTTGTATGGCAGCATCAACCAGTTGCGTCTACAGTCCCACTCAAGAGATAGGCAAGCAGGGGTGGAACCTGTGCTTGTTGGGATTGATGCAGTGGGCCACACTTGGGCAAAGGAGGGGAGTAGCATCTCAGAACTGAAGCAACAAAAGGAATACGGGAAGGGAAGAGACTCAAATTTCACCCTCTGATAAGGATGCTGTCAGGGACATCTGCGGTGTTGATGCCATGGTTTCCTGTATATCTCTCAGTGCCAGCAAAGAATGGTACTCAGGATCCGGCTCATGCTCCACCTCTGAAATGCACATGTGCCAGCAGGGGGTCCTTTGCCATGGCATTTCATTTTAGAGTGTATGGCATCACTTTTGGTCTTTGTAGCACTGGCTAATTTGGAGGTCATTGCCTCTTTTGTCAATTTCTGGCTTTGAAAAGCTTCACCAAGTGTCTGGGGGATGGCCAAAGAAAGTCCTGACATTGCTGCAGGAGAAAGTCTGGGGCCCTGATATTGATGGTTGCTCCACTGGACAAGGGAAACTGATTCCATGAAGGTCTCTGCTCCAGAGTTCTGCTTCCAGGCATTCAGCCCTGTACTTCCTCGCTCATTTAGTAAATGCCTGACAGTAAATGCCTGGCAGGTAGCAGGATTCTAGCACAGGGCTCTCCCCAGGCAGAAGAGGTGGAGTGAGTGCCCCTCAGTGGGCAGGAGTTTGCTGTCACAGTTCATGCACTTTCTAAAGGGAGCTTGTGGGGTCGGAAAGGTGAGACAAAGCAGGGAAGGGAGAAGAACACAAGGTGTAGGATGCAGAGCAAGTGGGGGGAAATACAACGAGGTTATAAATTTACTTTTTGAGAGACAGAGACAGAGATTTAGAAGGAGGAAGTGTGAAAAGTGATCAAAAAGAGAGTTTTTAGATGGAGAGGGACAAGTGAAAAAGCTACAATGAGCAGAGGAGGAACTTTCTGATGCACCCACAATGGCACTTGAGGAAGAACTGAGAATCAGGCAGCAGCCCCTAGTGAACAGCAGGGCATGTCCAGGGGAGGGGCTCCTGCTGAGAACTAAATGATTAGCTTTGAGATCTTCCTGTACAGGCTCCACGCATGTACACAGAGCCCATATGTATTTTGCACAGAAAGCATGAAGAAGAACTGTGTGAACAAGGCATTCCTCATGCCCTACAATATAAAGCTTTGCTCTGGTCACATATGGCAGCATCTGTGTAGCACAGGGATGGCCACGTATGAGAGGAAGTGTAAGGGTGTTTTCACACACCTGGAAAGCCAAGCATGGCCTGCACTCTGGAGGTGTCACTGCACTCTAGGAGTGCCCCAGGCCAAAAGTAATTATGACAAAAAAAATCAGCAGCTGCTGAAATTCAGCAGAGAACTATTTCATAATTCTACAGAGCGCTGCAAGGGATAAATTCGGTTTGTTTCCAAGCTAAATCTGACCCATGTTCCCATTCCTGATGTAGCAAACCAGAACACGAAACATACTGTTCTGTGAGGACCCAGGGTAATTAGGAACCCAAACTTAGGTATTACAATCCTGACACCACTTCTTCTCAGGAAATGTTTACTGAAAAGTTTTCAGACCGCTGGGTTTGAATGATTCTGTAATGCTTCCAGGAAATTATGGTTCCAAATGACTTGGGACTCAATTCACTAGAAAGCTCTCCTGTGCAAAGCATACTGATATGGAGGGTAGCAGCAAAAATTGCTGTTGCCCATGAATGCTGATGCAAACAAAGGCAGATTGCTTGACAACTTATTGCCCTCTGCAAATATGTACCATTCTTTAATATACAATAATCATCCCCACATTTACATTTTACCTGAAATTGTATTTTTTGGTTAATATGAGGCACGTGGAATTGTTTCAGGAAACGTTCGTCTTTGCTCCAGAAAAGACGGATGTCAGGAATTCCATAGAGGATCATGGCCAGCCTCTCCAATCCCAGGCCAAACGCCCAGCCAATTTTGTTCTCTGCACCAGCTACAAGGGTAAAAGCAAATCATTCAAGACTTTAACATGGAATATTTAGACAATTACTCCCAAGAGGTACACAAAATGAACTACAAGAGAATAAAATAAGGTGTTCTAAAGAATGAATGCATTTCAATAAATACCTGAACAATTTTTAAATGTAACAGCTTCTAAAAAGTGAACTATTTTTGAAGGGCAACAGGTATCCTATTTGTACTTCTACTGATCACCTTTCTTACTCTGGCATTTCAGAACTGATCCAAACATTCGAATGTACAGGAGCCTGTACACCATCAAGACCGCATATTAGAATACTATCCACCCAAAATAAAAACAAATCCTTGCTTATGGAAACCTAGCATGTCAGAGAGAAGACTAAAATAATTTTCTCAAAAGATCCAGTTTAGATAAATGGGGAGCAGGAGGGGGGAACCAGAATTTATTTATAAAAAAATGAATTCATTTTTATATTTTCAAACTTCAGCCACCTTCAAAGTACTCTCTGTTTGATGCAATATACCTATAGTGAGATGTTTTTTCCACTGCTCAAAACAGGTCCTGAACTTGATTTTGATGCCTTTTAGTGTTCATGCTGTTTTTGGTTTCACCTCTTCCACATTGGCAAAACATTTTCCTTTGAGGACTTTTTTCATCCAAGGAAACAAACAAACAAACAAACAAGTCACACAGGGCAAAATTGGGTGAATAGGGTGGGTGAGGCACAAGGGTCATGCCAACTGCTGAACACTCAGCTGAACAAAATTTCACCGCTGCACATTGTTCATATAAATCAGTCATCACAAAATAGGCAAACACATTGAAAGAGTCTCGGGGGGGGGGGGATCCCTCACTGAAGCCAAACCCAGCCTCTCACAACAACCCAGCTGGGTACACTGATGCAGATGGGTTCCTAGAACACTCATCTAGCAGGGAAAGCCTGTACTGCAAGGGGCCCACCCTCTAGCAGAAAATTCCTGGTTTTTTTGTGTCCCCCACCTCATATTCAAGGAAGTTCTCAAGAAACTAGCAAGTGTAGAAGAAGAGATGCACATGTCATAGTTCAGTGATGTATTGTGTGAAGAAGTCCTTCCTTTTATCTGTCCTGAATCTCCCACCATTCAGCTTCAGTGAATGACCCCAGCTTCTAATACTGTGAGAGAGGACACTGACTGGAGAAAAGGTTGTGAACTCTTGCCCTTCACGGGCAGGTGGGCAGACAGGCAATCCTCCAGGAGGCTGATAAGGCAGGCTGTCTGCCAATTGCTGATAAAATGTCTAAATCTGAAGTCACAAAGTAACCTCCCAATGGACACAAAGTTTCCAGAGTGGATTGCCAATTGGTAAACACACATTAAAGGCTTCCCAAAACTGCCTGAGCCAACATATAGAGAAATATTGACTTATCTGAACAACTGAGGATACGGTTTCTCTTGACTGACATCTGCCACCAGAAACGGACAAGAAACTGATGAAAAACATAATATGCCACACTAGATATGAGCACATGCTTATAATTCTGGTATTATTGTGCACCAACATTATCTTCAGAGTAATATCACTGCCAATTAAAGAAATGGATGACAGAGAAAATGTCAGGCTCCCATAATTCTATAATTACAGTGTAATGTCAATTAATGCAATTTTGTTTCCTACTAGAAATTATCTGCACTGTTGAAAGGGTCATGGTGCTTTTTAAGATTCACCCTAATCATCAAGTTGCATCTCATCTATCATAATCTGAAATACACTTGAAAGACAACAAAAAACAAACAAAAATTGGCAGGCAGTTTTTAATTGCATGTTCCTTTCCTATCTAGTTTGAGGATTGTCAGCAAATCTCAAAAGAAAAGCACAAAGGTTTGCGTTGACATTGCTCATCACTGCAAACTCACGTTGAGCTATCAGTCACATTTGTTAAGATTTGAAACATTGTAAAATGCCAGTGTTTAAAATTATTGGATGTAATTTTAAAGGATAATGTGTCTGGGAGACGACTAGAGCGTAGGTGGAGAAAATCAGGGGATGAATCTGACCGAACACACTTAAGAGCCCATTATCGGGCCTATGCTGTGGCAGTGAGGGCGGCGAAGAAGAAATTCTTCTCCACTTCCATTGCCTCCTCACAGTGCCGTCCAGTGGAACTTTTTCGGGTGGTACAGGGGCTGGTACAGCCAGACCCCAAGAAAGAGCCTGTATCACCCTCGATAACCTGTGTGACGACTTTGCCCAGCACTTCAAGGAGAAAATCACTCAGATTCGTCATAAGCTGGACTCCACTAGTGACTCAGATTCCTTAGGGGAGGTGCCAAGGTTACTGTCTGGTCACACATTGTTGGATGAGTTTCAGTTATTGCGGCCTGATGATGTGGACAAGGTGCTTGGACAAGTACGTACCACCACCTGCTTACTGGACCCCTGCCCATTGTGGCTGCTATCCAAAGCCAAACACGGGATTGGTTCCTGGATCTGGGAGGTCATCAACACCTCTTTGAAGGACGGCCGAGTGCCTGTCCTTTAAAGGAGGCGGTGGTCAGGCCAGTCCTAAAGTAGGCGTCCCTGGATCCAGAGATGGCCGTCAATTATAGACTAGTGGCCAACATCCCGCTTTTGGGCAAGGTGCTGGAGCGGGTGGTGGTGGGACAACTCCAAGCTCTCTTGGATGAGACTGATTATCTGGACCCATTTCAGTCCGGCTTCAGACCCGGGTATGGTACTGAATTTGCCTTGGTCGCCCTGTATGATGACCTGTGCAGGGAGAGAGACAGGGGGAGTGCATCCCTGTTGGTTCTCCTGGACCTCTCAGCTGCTTTCGATACCATCGACCATGGTATCCTTCTGGATAGGCTAAGGGGGCTGGGAGTAGGAGGCACTGCTTGGCAGTGGTTCCGCTTCTACCTCGACGGACGATTCCAGAAGGTGGTGCTGGGGGACTTTACCTCTGCACCATGGCAGTTATGCCATGGAGTTCTGCAGGGGTCTATTCTGTCCCCCTTGCTATTCAACATCTACATGAAACTGCTGGGAGAGGTCATTTGGAGGTGTGGGCTGCGGAATCATCAGTACGCTGATGATACCCAGGTCTACCTCTCTTTTTCAACCAATCCAGGTGAGGCAGTGGCTGTACTGAACCGGTGCCTGGCCGAGGTAATGGGCTGGATGAGGGCCAATAAACTGAAGCTCAATCCAGACAAGACGGACGTCCTGCTGGTAGGTGGTTCGAACACTTGGGTAGGTGACTTGGATCTTGTCCTGAATGGGGTTGCACTCCCTCTAAAGGACAGGGTCCGCAGCTTGGGAGTGCTCCTCGACCCGGAGCTGTCCTTGGAAGCTCAAGTGTCGGCGGTGGCAAGGAGTGCTTTCCATCAGCTTCGGCTGATCCATCAGCTGAGTCCCTACCAGGAGGACGACTGCCTAGCGACAGTGACGCATGCATTGGTTACTTCCTGGTTGGATTTCGTTAACGCACTCTACTTGGGGCTGCACTTGAAGACAGTCCAGATACTTCAGATGGGCAAAATAGAGCAGCCAGGTTGCTGACAAGGACTGGGCGTTATTCTCATATGACCCCAGCCCTCTACCAGCTTCACTGGCTTCCCATCGAAGTCTGGGTTCAATTCAAGGTGTTGGTAATTACTTATAAAGCCCTTAAAGGCATGGGACCCGGATACTTGAAGGAACACCTGCGGCCATATTTGCCCTCCCACCCCTTGAGATTGGCAGCAGGGGCTCTCCTCCGGGAGGCTTCTGTAAGAGATATCAGGAACCAAAGTACCCAGAGGAGGGCCTTCTCTGCGGTGGCATCCCATCTGTGGACTGCGCTCCCCAGTGAGGTCTGCCTGGTGCTGTAGTTATTTGTTTTTTGGTGCCAGGCCAAGACCTTTTTATTTAAACAGTATTTTAATAATCTTTAATATTTATAGTTTTAATTATGAAGCCAGTGTGTTTCCAAGTTTTAATTGTAATTGTAATTTTATTTGTTTATTTATTTGTGTTGTGAGCTGTCCCGAGGCTGTGTAGCAATGGGGACTGCATATAAAACTTTAAATAAATAAATAAATAATAAATAAACATCATTGTCAAAATTCCAGAAAGAAAGAGAGAGAGAGCGAGGGAAAATAACCAAAAATCTAATCAGTGCATTTAAGAGACTGGGTGTGAAATCATGGAGCTGATCCTTTCATAAACAGATACTCTCCCGTGTTTCCCTGCAAACACCTGGCCTTTGCCACTGCTAGCGGGCAAGAGAACACATATCAGGAGAAGTATTAGACACCTTTCCCAAAAAATATAGAAGGCAACTTGCGACTAAATTAAAACATACACACTTTAAAACAGCTCAAAATTATCAACTAAAATACAACCTTCCCATAAACAACTAAAACATCCGTGACAACTATTAATGAATCAACTGATGTGTAGTCTACCTATGTCATCAAATGCCTGGGAACAGAGGAAGGTGTTAACTTGGCACTGAAAATATTACAGTGTTCGTTCTAGACAGGTCTCCTTGGGGGGCAGGGGCGTTCTATAACCGCGGAGGTACCACTGGCAGACTTGTCCCAATCCTGGGGGAGCTACAGTCTATGGCACTGACTCAGAGAGGGATGCGGTGGATTCAGATCCAGCAGTAGGAAACCAGATCTCTGAGAATTCATTTTGACCAGGTTTCATACCTAGTTACAAACCTGGAGAGGTAGAGACTCAAGATGTCATATGGCCTGTTTTGCATGCCAGAGAATAAAGCTTGAAGAAGACCCCTGCCTCTTGACCAAGGGACAAGGGCAACAATGAAAGCTTCAGCAGGGGAAGGGCCTTATTGAGTTGTCCTAAAATGCATCCTCAGCGAAAGATGATGGAACGGAGGCATCTGGTGAGGCTTAGCACATGTTTGAGAGCCAGGTTTTCCTGTCAGGGTTGAATACGTTTGCTGGAAGGAAAGTTTACTTTGCTTCACTGATGGAACTATGAAGTTAATTGGACTTACTCTGTAGGTTAGACTCAACTCTGTT